AGTACCTTTCCCACATATGGCTGCAGGATAATTAGAGCAGAAGCGTTTCTGGTCCCGTTTTCCACATTTCGAGAGTAGGGCAGCAAGGCCCTATGGCGAAACTCTTTGAAGACTCTCTCTTATTTTTCGGCGAGTTGTTTCTTTAATTCCGTGCGTTGATTTGCATACAGCGTGCTTGTGTATTGCCTCAGCTGATTTCTGAATCAGCCTTGTGTTGACATCGGCCATCCCTCTCCATTCCAATTCCAATTCCAATTCCAATTCCAATCACGCTGATAGCCTTGGCACTATCATGCTGATAGCTGATAGCGTTGGCGTTCCAACCGCACCCTAACTCGGCGCTCCTGCAAAGCGTGGAACAGACATCCAGCTTGCGGCTTGCGGCTGCATACTTTTGCTGTCCGCTGGGATGTCCTGTCCGTCCTGTGCAATGAAACCACCAGTACCTCAAAAGAGGTGGAAAAGGATGTATCTTTCCATATTCTAGCGGAAGATTCACTCTCCTTTTGCACATTTCGAGAGTAGTGCAGCGAGGCCCATAGCCTAAGCTATGGAGTGAGCCACCGCCTGAACTCTTCAAAAGATAGGAGAGACTCCGAGAGAGCATTCAAGAGTCAAACCCTAGCCTAAGCTATGGAGGAAGGGGCAGCAATCTGGCTTCCCTCTACCGGTTTCCGCTGGAGCCAGAATCCAGCCTCATCAGGAGGAAAAAATTAACTCCGAGGTGAAAACGTAGACAACCCTATGTAATAGTAACTACTGAGTACAATCTCTCGCATTTCCCTCAGGAGCCCCTTCACTCCGGGAGCTCCGTTTGCATGTTCCGTTTGCATGTTTTTCGAGGCTATCTACCGCTTCTCACGCGTCCCAAAAATCCAAACCGAAAATCCCACCCATATCCTTGAGGCTTCCCGAGGGTCCTTGCTGATTAGCGCGGTAACTTCTGAAAATTTTCCTTCTGAAAGGCGCGGTAACTTCTGAGAGATGCTTTCTTAAAAAAAAAAAAAATTCCCCCTGAGGGTCCTTGCTGATTAGCGCGGTAACTTCTGAAAAATTTCCTTCTGAAAGGCGCGGTAAATCTGAGAGATCCTTTCTATAAAAAGGAAAAAAATTCCCCCCGAGGTTCCTTGCTGATTAGCGCGGTAACTTCTGAAAATTTCCCTTCTGAAAGGCGCGGTAAATCTGAGAGATCCTTCTGAAAAAAAAAAAAAAAAAAAAAAAAGATCCTTCTGAGGGTCCTTGCTGATTAGCGCGGCAACTTCTGAAAAATTTCCTTCTGAAAGGCGCGGTAATTTCTGAGAGATCCTTCTGAAAGATCCTTCCAAACGGACCTCCCGCAAAGTTTAACCAGTTGTCCCGGGCCCCACGGAGAACCCTGCTGGCCTTACAGATGTTCAGAGCGCCCTTCACAGACTCGGTAATTCCTTCCACTCCACGTTTTTCACAAGAAGATACGCTTCTCAGATCTCAGAGGGCTTTCTTTGACCTTATCGCAAAAGTCCTCTTTACGGTTTCCGTCAGATTTTCTGAAAGATACTAGTAGCGTCTTCCCCCGAACACAACGCACCCTCATTATGGCTGTATCTGGCCGGAAGTATAACTCGTATACATTCATTATTAGGGTGCGTTATGTTCGGGGGAAGACGGTAAGCTCATCGAATCCTTTGCTCGTCTTGGAATTTTGTTTTTAATTATGTTCAAGATTAGCGGTACATGCTGCCGTTCTGTAGGCCTACCATGCATCCAGGGAGTTTGATCCTTTGGACTCATGGTAAGAGCCTCTGTAGGGTAGGTACCCTGTATATCCTACCACGTTTTTCAAAGAGCTCTCAGATGATCTCGGTAAGTATCAGAGCTTTCACGGTATATTGTTTTCCGTTCGATTTAATGAAGGATACCAAATCCTTTTTATTTTTTTTAATAATTAAAAACATTTGGACCATTTCTCGATTTATGCGTGTCATCCTTGAAAGCGCAGGGGCCATGCTAATCTTCTCTCTCTGTATCGTTCCAAGTTTAACGGATGTCCCGAAGGACAAGGATACCAATCTTGTCCTATCCTGTGCTCGTAAAAACTTTCGTTGAGATTCGTGGTAAAGGGCGTCGCCGCACGGCACACCAAACGAAAAACGAAACGAGTGCATCTGCCAGCAGAAAATGGCCAGGTTCATCGATTAGCTATAAATAGTAACGCACCAAACGAAAAACGAAACGAGTGCATCTGCCAGCAGAAAATGGCCAGGTTCATCGATTAGCTATAAATAGTAACGAGTGTATGTTGCCACCTTCCGTGGGCAGATGCACTCGTTTCGTTTTCGTTTCGTGCGCCGTGGGGCGAGGCCCTAAGCCTACCACGCATCCCTACCGGTAGGGGTCCGTAGTTTAGGCGGGTAAACATCCCAGGGGCCCCTTCTGAGGTTACCACCTACCTTTCTATTCATAAACCCTAAACCAATAACTAATAATACGTGAGAATCTTTAAAACTCCTGAATATTATCCTCACCATCCACAAAACTTTCTCCCCCACTTTTCCCAAGATGGCGCTTTTCTTCGAACGAATTTCCGCAGGCAGACTTCGAAATATTTACCAGGGTAGTTTTGCAATCTCAGAATTCTTTTCCATGTCAGCAGCCCCAGTCCCACTAGTTCCGCGTCAGACGTCATCTGGTAGATCCTGTGGAGACAGCATGTAATGACAGCCTTTTTCTGCGGGATGGCTGAGTATGAGTCGAAGTCTTGCATAGTTTCTGAAGGTGCGTTCCCCCCCCATCCCAGATCTCTTCGTAATTTCTCTCGACTAGCTGGGTCGTTACCTCTTTTTTTTTTTTTTTTTTTTTTTTTTTAAGTCGTTACCTCTTTCTTCCTCCTTTCACTCTGATCTTCGCTCCCAGAAAGTCCCACTCCCCTTTGCCCTCGTCTGTACGTTCCAGTGAGGACACGTCCTCTCTAGGCACAAGCACGCAACGGAAATTCTAGGAGAACATGCAGCTGCTGCTGCAATAAAAATGGCTGGCAAATATAGAAATAGTAAAAGCTCAATACCTTTCTCGGCCTTTTGGCTAAAAATAGATCAAGATTCAAGAGTAGTATCTGTTCCGATCAGTTTTTTTAATATCTGATCCGTGGTCCATCGGACCACATTAAAAAAAAAAAGTAAAATCTCTATGAAAAACACACTTGAAAAAGAAAAAGAAAAAACACTTGAACAAATCGCTACAGAAGAAAAATAAATTAAAAGACAATAAAAAAATAGCTATATCTAAAAAAGAGGTCCAAGAATTCGAGCGAAATGGAATGACTGAACGAATATAAGCTGTAGCTGATACCCAAGGCATCGATTATGCGATTTCGATGGGATCCCTGAAAAGGAATCAATCATCACTGTGAATTTTTTTCCAAAACTGACGCAATATTTTTTTATTATTATTTTTTTTTGGAAGAACTTGATCAATTTCCTTTTTGCAGAGTTGGAGATCCAGCGCTATTCGAATTTAGCATCTTAAAAAAAAGGGGGGGAAAAAGCATCTTTGTCAATTTGGTTCCTTACCTGCATTTTTTGCTACCGTCTTCACCCGAATCTGGACGTGTTTGTGGAGATGTGGGGTTGAGGAAATCGGGTTGAGAAAAGGAAACTCAACCCGATTTCTGCACATCTCCTCGAGGCTCGAACACGTCCAGATTCAGGCGTTGAGGAAACTCAACCCAATTTCTGCACATCTCCTCAAACGCATCCAGATTCGGGCGTTGAGTAAACTCAAGACGCTGCTAGTGGCACACTGGGGCCCCTGCTGCTATGAACTTGGTCGGGAAGCGAGGTAGGGGATGCCATAGGGGCTGCACTTCCTTTTGATTCCGCGGTGAGAACAGCCTACTACCGTTCTCACCCTAATACAACGTACTGTCATTATAACTGTATTTTGGTCAACTTCGAGTCTACATACATCAATAATGACCGTACGTTGTATTCGGGTGAAGACGGGTGGGTAGACGATAAAAGGACGGACACACAGAAGACGCGTGTCGAAAAAACTTGTAGTGACGAAATCCCCAAATGACTCACGAGCAGAAATCGCCCGCAATATGTTTGGTTTTACTCGTCAAAAAAAAAAAAAAAAAAACTTGCAGGACGCAATCCCCAAATGACTCACTGGCAGAAATCGCCCGCAATATCGTCCGGCGGGGGAATTTAAAAAAAGGATGAAGAGGTTTGCCTTGGGCACTGAAAAAAAAAAAAAAAAAAAAAAAAAAAAAAAGCTTGAAGACGCCGTCCCTGGCCGGCGTGAGATGTGACATGTTATGAACTTTATATACACTCACGTGAGAGGGACGGTGGACCCAATTTCAAGCACGTGATGTTCCCCAGGAATAAAATGAGCCATCGAATCTTGCCGGGGCCAGGTCCCACTACCTTCCTTCCCCCGAATAAAACGTACGGTCATTATAGCTGTATTTGAGGCATCTTTCAGTCTAGATACAGCTATAATGACCGTTCGTTGTATTCGGGGGAAGAAGGTAGCAGCGTTGAGCTACCTCAACGCCTGAATCTGGACGGTTTTGCGGAGATGTGCAGAAATGGTGTTGAGTTTCCTGAACTGCACGTCTCGACAAACACGTCCAGATGCAGGCGTTGAGGTAGCTCAACGCTGCTAGTGGGACTTGGCCTCCGGGCTCTACTTTCCGGCGGGGCTCTTGCCAGAATGCAGAGGCCCTGGCCCTGAACGATTTTACTAGTCTTACGAAAAAAAAAAAAAAAAAAAAAATCCCATCAAGGCAGGTAGTGAAAGAAAGATATGACCAAAAAAAAAAAAAAAAAAAAAAAAGAAAGAAAGATACGTTCCATGACATGGCAGAACGCCAGTTACAAAAATATGCGAGGTCTGGGAAAATTACTATATGCCTGTTCCCCAGCCGACGAGCAGAAGGCAGCTTCCAACAACAACAACAACAACAACAACAAGAACAACAACAAAAAAAAAAGAAAAGAAAAAAAAAAACTCACCAGGAATCACCGGCAATATCGTCCGTTAGCGTGGAGCCGAACCTCTGCTCGTACACCTTGGCGATGTACTGCAGCTGTGTGTACGACCGCGTGGTGATGATCTCATTCAGCTCCGCGTCGTCGGTCCCCGCCCCTGCCATTGCTTCGTGCAGGTACCCGGCGTCCCGCCATGCCGCGGGCGCAAGCAGCGCTTCCAGACCGCGGAAAATCTCCGAGCTCGAGCCCAGCGCCGATGCCAGCGCCTCTGTCAACACCTTCGACGTCTTGGCATAGTAAAGATTGAACACAATCGCGCGCTGATTGAAGCTTCGCTGCGTCGCAAGTTTAATCAGCTTGCCAACACCATCGCCAGGTAACTCTGCAACGTGTCACTCAGATGGCGGAAGAGCGGGGTGGGGGAGGGGATAGCGGACGGGAATGGGGAGGAGAGGGGGGGGAAGGGGAGAGGAAGGTGGGGGGGGGGASGGAAAGGGGAAAGGGTACAAGGAGAGAGGGCCAAGAGGAGAAAATAATGGTGTTAGTAGGAGCGTAATGCAGAAGATCATCTTCTTTTTTTTTTTACAGTAATGCAGAAGATCTTTAAGTGACAACAATGACCGAGCCCAAAACAAAATAAAAAAAGTGCAGAAGATCTTAATGCAGAAGAGTGTCAATTATGTTGAATTATCACTAGTTAACTGCAGGAAACTCACTGCGCACTGTTGTTCTTTTTTTTTGTCTTCTTTTCTTCTCAAAGTTCTAATTCCATTTCATTGAAGTGAACTGAAAATATAAACACGACTGTATTTGAACATCAGTTTCAAACGGAAAAGAAAAAAAAGATAGGCCCACCACTGACCAACGGACTGACCGACCTACCCACCAATCGAACGGTCGGGGACCGGATTGCCCGGTAGGACATTGGGCCTCCCTCCACTACACAACACACTACATGTATCCGGACTCCGTTATCGTCCCGATGCATTCATAATGTTGGACTGCTCCGAATGCACGTGGTCAAGAAAGGGGTCCAAATGCATGGGGACTGTTGAGTGGTGGAGCGAGGCCCATTAGGTCACACTATCACTATCCCGAGTCATGATGATATTTCAATACCGAAACCTAAGACTAGAACGATATATATATTGTCACATGAATATCAGAGCGCAAAAGCGAAAAAAAGAAAAACAGGAAAATTTGAATTTATAGGGTTCAGCCTCCTGATGAGTCGGTGAAACTCCGACGAAACAGTTTGCCACAGCCCCTCGTTTTCTGTCCTCTTCTCCCTCTCTGCCTACGGTTTACCGGGCAGCTCTGTTTGACTATATATATTGTCACATTGTGAATCAGAGCGCAAAAAAGGGAAAAGAAAAAAGGAAAAGGAAAAAAGGGAAAGGGAAGGAGGTAAGGAAAGCTCC